AAGGCTTCAACATATAAATTTGGGGAGAGCAAATTCAGCACATAGCTATTCCTTTTCAACACAGTAACACCACAGTCATGCACAATGATAAACTTCCACTTCTTGAGAAATGACCAAGGATCATTTCTGCAAAACACACAAAGCTGTATGATTAAATACCAGCCCTTTGGCAAAGAGGTCTATATTCAATGTGGTCTATATTCAAAGAGGTCTATATTCAATGCCAATTTATAAGATGTTCTTAAACTCAATGAAGGAACCATGCAAAACGCTCCAATGGTTAAAACTCACTGGCTGAATTAGGTACAACAGAGTTCAGCATATGAAAACCCTACGAGAAGATCATTGGAAACAGGTCCCCCAGAGTGCTGTAAGTTGTGTCTGCTTTTGTGGGTTCTTTTCTTGGTCATGACAATCTGTTGTCTCTTTTCAATGATGCTGTGTGTCTACTGAAAGCAGCTCTTTTCCCCAACTTGAAGTAAATTACTTCTGCCCTTTTTAAGGTATACAAATCAATAATTAAGTCTGTTAGAGCTATACGCAATGTAAGAATAAATAGGCTGAGAACAGGAACCTGAGGTTGTGGGTGTCTGTTAAACTCAACTAGGCCTCCTACTATTCTCCACTTGTGCAGTCCTCACTCTTCAAATCTGGGCTGGCCTATGGCTTGTTTTAACCAAGACAAAGGAGAAGGAATAATACTGAGCCAGTTCCAGCCTTGGCTTATGGGCCCTGGAAGCTTCTGCTCTTGTGCTCTTGGGAGCCTTGAGCTGCCATTTAAGAAATCTCAGAATGCAAAGGCAGAAAAAAGGAAAAGAGGCCCTGTGGAGAGGGAGAGCACTCCAGAATACATGATAGAGAGAAAAGCCCAGGCCTAGCTGGCTCACATGAATGTAATCATACAGGGACCACCAGCAGGACCAACAGAAGAACTTTCTTGCTGAGCCCAACCCAGCACTGCAGAACTGAGAAAACGGTGGCTGATTTAAACTGTGTTTTGAAGTAGTTGTTGCACAGAAGGGGTACAAGACATCTTCCCTGAAACATGTGAAGAACAGAAAGTAAAAAGGACTGACCAAAGACCCCCAGCTACTGCTATTTAAGGGCCAAGTTCTATCCACTGAGTGAATGAAAGAATCAGGGGAGCTAAGGACTGACGTGCACAAGCTAGCATCCCTGTGCATCCTCTTCATGCTGCCATGCCAACCCCAAAGCCAGAAGTTGAATGAAACACAATTGTGCAGCCAGTACACAGCCTGGCATGTAGTGAGCATGCGACACTACTTAGGAGCTTGCTCACAGGCTCACAAAGCAGTAATGCCAATGTGAACTCTCCATTCAGAGGCAGTAGGGTGAGCAGTTAAGATACGTCTGGAACTTGATCACCGTGGCTAAAATCCTGGCTCAGACAGTTACAAAACTGGGTGAGGATTTGACGACTTACTTACCTCTCCACATCTCAGTTTCCTCATTTAAAAACAAGGCTGACAGGACCTAACCTGGAGGACTGTCATACTGTCATGAGCTGTATGTGAAGAGCTGAGAAGTTACTTGGCAGGTCCTAAGGATTGTGCAACTGTTCACTGTCGTGGTTTGCTTTGTCTCTGTTGTTCTACAAGTCTGTACCTCAGACTCAATCACATTAGTGTCTGTGTTTCAGCACGCAGTGTTTCCTTTTAAAGATTTCAAAACTGAGAAATTATTAATTAGGATAATTAAATATCATTTGAAGTCTCTTTTCTCTATTCTTAAGGGTTTCTTCTCAAACACAGTTAGATCAAAAATCACTGGTAAAACCATAGAAAATTTAGCAAACCACCATAAGCATCAGGCCAAGAAAAATGACAACTAGGTTGTGTGCGGGGAATTAGAGACCAACCCTGCAGAGAGACCACGGTGCTAGGAGAGCACAGGAGTGTGGTGCACAGCAGAGCACTGCCTCCTTGTGGCCTGGGTCTTCAGCTGTAAGAGGCAGACACCTCCACCTCATTGCCGCCACCCCTACAGGAAGGGTATATTAAGACCAGACATATGAATGGGCCTGTAACTCACAGGTACCGGGTAAAGGTGAGGCAGTATCTTTATTAACAGCATTTCACATCTCATGACAATAACCTTTTACATTTCTAAAAATTTTCAAGTAAGCCTCAATTTCTGTTCCTGCCAGCAAGCATAGCCACAGCAAGTGCCTTTTATGAGAGCTAACGAGAGGCTTATTTTCTTTAAGAAACGAAAGAAAAGACGTTCTTCTAACAATTCTCAAAAATAGCTCAGTCCATTCGATATCACCATCTTTGAAATCAGAAAAAAAAGAGCTCCCTGTTGCTCTGGCCCTCAGCAAAGCAGATCTCTAAGGCAGCAAAGGTTTTGCATGAAGGGAAGAAGAGGGGTCTGTGCATCTGACTGGGTCTGATAAAGACCTGCTATTATGAGGTCCAGAACTCGCTTTGTCCTTCCCTTCCCCTTCCCGCCTGTCCCTACACTTCACAAAAGGCTTAGAAGTTGTATTTCTGGCCCAGTGGCTCTTCCAGCCACTGCTGGGTTTGGACCAGATTTAGCGCAGGAGTCAGCAGGTGACTGGGCCCACAGCAGTGCTGGGGAGGTGCCCATACTGCTTCAGCTCATGCACACCGGCTATTATGAGGCGTCCATCCTGGCCTGAGGGCTCTCTAAAGAAAGATAGCTCCCATTCCCCACCACATCCACCTCAGAATCCAAGCGTCCCCAGGAGGGGCAAAGAGGGCTTTACAAAGGCCAAGGAAAGGAAAAGAAAGGAATGGAAAGATACTATACTGGGAACCACTCAAAATGCTCTCCCCAAGGCAGCTGGACATTCACGGGTCTCCCTGGGGAGCTGGAGTGATTGGCTTCCACTTAGAGAATGAAGACACAGTATTGTCTGCGATGAGACAATGATGAGAATCAGTCGACCCCAGACCGGCACAGCTCTGTTTCTCTGGGGTTGTTTGGCTTGCCCTCCTCCTGCCTCCACTGTGCAGATCACATCAACCAGTCTTAGAGGGAGGACAACGTGGGAGTCCATGGTGGAGAAGTCAGTCCTACCAGTTGGACTGATCCAAGCTGAGGAACACACCACTCTTGCCTTTCCAGGTGGGACTCACCAACTAGGGATGAAGGCCAGAAGGAAAAAGTCACCTCAGATCTCACTTCTGGCCAGTGTTCTGGATTCTCACACTTGGACACAGTTCTGAATCCTATGCATCTCCACTGTGACCACAGCTGGATTCCTCTCCACTGCTTTAACTTCAGCAAAATCTGTCCTGAAACAGACTACTTCTGGCTGGGATTTACTGCTGCCACTGTCTTAAACTCCCTGTCCTCTTATGCCCAATCACCTGTCTCCTGGCCTGTTCCAGCAGCTATACACTCTATCACAGTGTTCTGGTTTCTCCCCCAAGTGACTGTGAGCCCCAGGAATTTGGAACAAGCTTTGACAACAGCCACCCCCATGTCGCTTAAGCGCCGATACCTGGGTTCTGCACATAGCAAAGGTTTAACATAAGCCTGCTGCTCATTCTCCAGTGTAATATGGGGGAAAGAGAGCTCTCTGAGATGACTGTGACTGAGACGCCTTCAGAGCCCGGCAGCTGAAAGCCCTCACAACACTAAATTACACTGCAAAGACCATGTGAACTGGGCACCAGCTCCCTCTGAGGCTCATTCAGGGTGGCAGCAAGCTTGAGGACTAAATCAACCAGTCCTGGTGTGGCTTGAGCTGAGCCAGAGGAACGAAAGAGGACGCACGCCAACCTGATGGTCTGGCGATGTGACCCGACTCCAAAGTGGGGCTGGCCTACCTCCCGGGGCCCCACCCAGAACTACAACAAAGCCAATTGTTCTGGTGCCCACCAAGGCGCTCTTGCTGACCTTGGCTGCTTTGCCACCACACTATGGCAGTTTATACACATCAGCACACATTGTCCGGGAGGCAGAAGAGCCCAGGGAAAGGGCGAAGCTTTGAAGTCAGACATCCTGGGTTATTATCCCAGGGAAAGCTTTGAAGTCAGACGCGCCAGAGACGATCTGATTGCCAACACCATGTTCCAGGCCAGGCACTGAGGAATAAGACACGGCCGTGTCCTCATGGAGTTCAGAGCTTGTAGAAGAAAACAAGTGGAAAAATAAGCTGCTCAACACAAGGGAGAAATGACAGGATGGGGGCATTACCTTAGGCCTGACTTCATGACATCTGAGTGAGTCCTAAACAAGATTAGACATATTATTTGTGCAAATTATTGAAATCCCCTAAACCTCAGTTTCTTCATCTGTAACAGTAGGGTTAAATGAGGGCTATGTCACAGGTTTCTGTGGAGACTAGATATGTAATCTATATAAAATACTTACTTTTTTTTGGTACTGGGAATTGAAGTCAGGACCTTCTAACTGTCAGGCAGGTGCTTGAGCCACTAAGTTATATCCCCAGCAAAGCACTTACTTTTACTTTCTTATAAAATAAATGCTTCTCTTTTAACTACAAAATAATTGGTTTTATACATTAATTTGAGCTATGCTATCCTGACTGATATCTAATTTTTTCTCACATATATTTTTTTAACCCTTACACATTTGGAGTCTTTAACCCACAGTTAATTTATTACTGGGAGATCAGTAAGAGGTCCATATCATTTACTGCCCAAACCAGGGTAAACTAGAGGTACCATCTGGGGCAAAATGAAAGTAACAGTCACTGCATCCATCATCTACAAGTCAATTTCAGGGTCAACATACGCAGCCTTTCTGCATCACACTGAAGAGTGTCCCACTAGCTTAGAACAGGCTAAACCAAAACCCAAACTGGCTGAGAGCCCGCGAGTCAGTGCACGTGAACACTGCACCACATGTCCCCAATTCACAGAGCTTAGCCCAAAACCAGAAGAGAAAAGAAGCTCACGTTCTATCACCTGCATCCTGCCATGGGGAAGACCAGCTATCTTCTAGATATCAGCTGTCCTTTTTGCCTCTAGAACAAACCCCCTTACCTCAGGTGTCCCAAGCTGTAGAAGCGGGACTCCCCGTCCGTGGAGCGCACCACCTGCAGCGTGAACATGGGTTGCAGCTGCCTGAGTTCCAGCAGGACGATGGCCAGGTAGTGGATGAAGAGGAGGGCGTCCACGAGGGAGACTGCATATTGCACAATGCCCTGGTAATTTCGGTCCCGAGAGTCCAAAATGCGCACTCCATAAAACAGCCAATAGGAAACCACGAAAAGAAAGATGAGGACCAATAAAACGGCACGGAACACAAACACCCGTGGCATGTCTGCTCTCTGCTTCCGGAAGAAAAGTGCCCACGTCCCAATGAGCAGAATGAGCAGTTTAAATGACACAGAAATAAAAAGTCCCTCACAAATTGTGCCACAAGGCTCCAGCTCATCCCTCCACAGGATTGGGGGCAACAGGATGAAGGCAATGGGGGTGAGAAAAACTAGAAGTCCAAGGAAGGAGGCGACGGTGAGGCCCAAGTAGCGTTTGCAATCCAGCCCCACGCTGTCCTCCATGTCCTTGCTGATCCTGGCAATGTCCTCCTGGGATATGCTGTGCTCTGAGGTGCCTGTGATGGCTGTGGTGGTCTCTCCCCAGTTGTCATCCTGATGGGAGAGAGCACAGTGAGCTGTAAGAAACTGGTCATTTGTAAAACACACAACGAACATGCAGGACCCGCTGATCCCACTTACCCAACTCTACCTATTGGTCTTTCCTAAGAATGGGAGCGGAATCTATTTTTAATCTAGGATTTTTAAAAAAGCTCTTAACAATTTTCATTGAAACTTTCAAAATGTATTATATACACATCTTTTGAAACACAGATAATAGAACTGAACCTTTGTACTTGCTTGCATGACTCACTGACACAACGTTGATTATAAACCTATATTGAAAAGTCCTGAGACGCTCTGAGGCCTGTGGCTGTTTACCCTATGAGAAACATCCGGTTGTTAGATTAATCTTCTGAGAGTTCACCTACTGAAGAATCCCCCTGTTTTCCTCCAGATTCATGCAGAGTCCTAAAGGCTTAAAAGACCAAATTTGGAAGTAGGGAATAATCCTACCCCCACCGCCATCCCTCTACAGAGCAAAGAGCACAGAAAGGGAACTTGTATCACTACAGGAATCCAAGCTCACCTGCAGCTGGCACAGAGATTATTTTTAAACGTATAATGCTTGCGAGTGTCACTTAATAAGCAGCACTGTGACAACATTTCTCACTGACCAAACTAAGCAAATTCAAGAATCCAATTAGGGCCAGAAAAGCTCAAAAATTCTTTTCAAAACATATGTTTTCATGACAAACTAAACATCAGGGGCACACAAACAACTACGACTGTTATAATTTACTGTACAAGACAGGACGCTTATTGTCTTGTATTCTCAGTTTTAAAATTTATAGGTAGTTGTTAGAGTAATTTATCTATTCATGCAAAAAGATCCAGTTGCTAGGAATCGTAAACACATTTGCTATTTCACTGGCAACTGTGATTCCATTCCAGGGCACAGCAGAGCAAGAAAAGCAATGTGGAGTGCAAAGAGGTTTTGCCTCAGAGATTCAGGGAGATGGCTTCCCTCTGAAAGAACAGATGCAGCAGCAAGACAGGTGAAATGAGGATATCAACTTAGAGAAACACAGTTTAATAGTTGAATGAGCAAGGCAGACATCTCATAACTGAATAAGCGCAAATCTAGTAATGATAAAAATAAACTTCCACGATTTATGAAATGTACACTAGGGTATGGTTAAGAAGTGGTAGTAGTAAGTTCCCAACCTACAAACAAAAGCCCTTCAATTTGGGAAGTTAGAACTATCATCTACCACAACAGAAATTACTACAGACAACAGCCAGATGCAGCCATGACTCCCAGACACTGCTGGTGGACGTGCAGTATGGTGCAACACCTCTTGAGAACTCAGTATACTCTTTAACTATACGGTCATATTCCACTCCCAGGTTTTACCCAAAATTAACGAAAACATATGTTCACAAAAGATGTGTGTAAGAATGAGTGTTCTTTTTCTTTTTTTTTTTAATTTTTTTTTTTGGTAGCGGAACTTGAACTCAGGACCTTGCTCTTGCCAGGCAGGTGCTTATGCCACTGAGCTATATCCCCAGCCCAGAATGAATGTTCTTAATGGCTTTATTTATAACAGCCAAAATTGTACAACTCAAATGCCTATCTCATCAGGAGACTGGATAACAAATTGTGGTAAAATTATTCAACAGATTAGTATTCAGCAAAAATAAAAACAAACAAGCTGCCTAGACATCACCAAAATCTAGCTGTCAAAACCATTAGGTTGAATGGGAGAAAAAATATCATATGATTCCAATTATATTAAATTCTAAAACATACAAAACTGATCTACAGAGGTAGAAGTAAACACAGTGGCTGCCTTGGAAAGGTGGGGACCACTCACCTGTTACAATTCATCAAAGGTTCACTTAAGATCTGGTTTGTTTCTCTCTGTGTAAATTCACAGCAATTTGTTTTAAAAAGAAAGGTGTCAGCAAGGGGAAAAGTCACAAATCCAAAGCTATAAAATTTGCTTCCATAAAAGGTCCATTCACATGCTATAGAAAATAGTTTATTTTGTCACACTCTTAGTGAAGACAACAACACTGCATTCATATTTGTGTTAGGCCTTGCATTCAGTTGCTGAAAAATTATTACTAATACCTTGTGGATCCCTTGTTGCCTGCCCACTGCTCTGATTTAAGCCGCTCATCTTTTTTCCTGGCAAGGAGTTAGTAAGTCCCCTGACCATTTTAAGAATCTGTACACATGTGTGTCTTAAAAAAAGGCAGATGTAAAAAGAGTTCTCTCAAGTTTGAGGTTTTCAGAACAAAAAGGATCTAAACTCCTCTAACCCAACCCTCCAGATTTTCAGTGAAGAAACCTAAAAGACTAACTGACCACAGTAACAGTTGCTAAAGAATACAACCTCTAAATCCTTCGTCTACCACATCATTCTGGTACAAACACCAATGGCTTCCCAGTAAGTACAATGTACAGAGAAACTAAAAGGAAAGAAATGTCCTCGCAGTGGGCCATCAGTACCTATGAATCCATTTCTAGGAGAAAACTGACACTTAAACTACTTAAGTGTGGTCCAAACATGGGATTGGCCCCACTTTTCCGTCCATCCATCATCTACTCAGTCACCCACCCACGCTCCCAGAGCCAGGACAAGCAGTAAAGCACTATCAAAGGCATCTGCTCCTCAGTGAACAGACCTTACCCTTAACCCACGTCTGCAGTTCCGAGTCCCAAGAGCGCCTTCCATGCTCTGAGGAACTGCAGTTTCAGTCCATCTGTATGATTATAAGTGTATATTTGTGTGGACCGACAAGTGTGTACAGATGCGTGCTTATCTATATTCCATCTTTACAGCCGTGTATGCAAACATGGCTTTTGTTTACATGAGGCAAGGCTGGGCATGCATGTATCTCAGGATATGTAGAGGACATGTAGACGTGCTTTTGAGCATAGGTCAGATATTTATTTCAATCAACTAGGGTGCCAGACAGGTGAAACCTAGAAAAGAATCTACACATTTATTTTTTAAAAAGGAATGAACTGCCACTCTTTTGAAACTGGGTGATTTCACATAAAATCCTAACACCTAGTTTTCCTTAAACATTGCAAGATCCCAGAACACTGAGTCCTTGCATTTCTGAGTAGCAGGAAGCATCTGGAGTAAAGGAGCTGATTTTCTTGACAGAGGCAGCTCACCCTCCCATTTGCCATAGCTCCTTTGCTCTGTCCCACGGCCTTGCACGGACCCCCAATGATCAAAAGGCTTGCTTGATATATTTTGTCCCTTCTTTTTGAGCCAAAGGGTTATCTCATTCGTTCCTGTTTCCCTCTCAGGGGTCTGGGTACGCAGACACTGGTTTACTTCATGTATTTAGCAGTGCATCTGGGCTGTCCTGACTTCTTTTCCCTTCTTCTCCATACTACTCAGGCTTTCTGTTTCATTTTGAAATGAGTCTCCTGAGACTCTAGCCTGTAACTTTTCCCTTCTCTGCCCTGTCATCAGCTGTGCTGGCTTCTTTTCAACAGCATTCAAAGCAGACCAACCAATCACACTTCAGAATAATTCCCAGGCTACCCAATGGCAAGCCAGGCTGCTCTTAGACCAACAAGAAACCACAGGACATAGATAAACTAATTAACATGCTGGAAAAATAAAGATAAAAACCCAAGAGAACTTATTGCAACAAGACTTAGAAAAATATTTATGGAAAGGAGACTCGGCCAAGTGGCAGAGTGCTTACAGACTGCCTTTGATCCTTACCTGAACCTCCTCAGTCCTAGTGGAATCATTTGCCAACAGGGGCTCTCCAGTGGGAGCTTGAATGGTGACAGATTTTTCTGACCCCCTGCCATCTTTATTCCGGGGTGATTTATGTCTCTCTCTAGTTCTCTCCCTGAAAAAATAAATGATAAATAGCTATCAAATTTATGAAATGTAAGTTAACAACCTGATTCATCAAAACATAAATCTCATTTTAAATTTAAGAAAACTCTACACTTAAAACTCAACATATGCACACATGTGAATGTGCAGGTACACACACAAACATACACACACACACACTCCACCAATACCCACCCATCTACCCAAGCAAGGAGTAAACTGATATTTACTCTCTACTTAATTATTTCCTTTCTGCCATTCCACGATCTAAAACAAAGACTATCACTTTGCTACACTTTGCTACAACAATGATCAGATTTTTCTTCCAAGCTTAAAATGGTAACTTCAGAATTCCTGGCTAAGGCACATTTTACTATAATGATTACTCAGTTGATCTGAGTAATTTGTCTAATTTTCTAGGACTTTTTTTTATTAGGACACCAGTGCAGAATATCTAAGCTTTTGGTCTATACAAAAAAATCTGGGACACACTGTCATCTTACCCTCTGTCCTTTTTAACAAGAAGAAAGGAAACTAAACTAGGACAGAGAAATCATTCGCTTCTCATTCTTACAAATTCAAAACTAAAAGTGATTCCCATAGGTTCTAGCTGAACTCAAAGACACCCACAGAAACAAACAAAGCCATGACAAATGACACCAAGAGGTGAGAAGAGTGCGTGCGTGTGTGTGTGTGTGTGTGTGTGTGTGTGTGTGTGTGTGTGAGAGGCCTCCTAAGGAAAGTAGGTTGCTGCATACTTTTATTCCAGATGAACTTTCTGGGTGGTCCTCCAGGGTGACAGGGAGGGCACACTACTATGGGTCAGTCTGGAAATTACAAAACTAATCAATCACTGTGGCCAAGCCCAGAGGTCACAACCTGGTCAGCAACCACTTCTGAAAACCGGCAGTCTGGCCTCCAGATGCCAACGGTGAATCCAGGAGCCCCTCGGTGATGGACAGGCAGCAAGTTCCCTTAGCCTCGTGTCCCACCTGGAGTTGCTATCAGTTTTCCTTCCTACAACTACCTCTCTCTCTCGTTCCTGCTCCCAGGAAAGACAGAATTATGAATGCAGATTTTTCAGACAAGTAGTGAGATGTCAATCTTCCCTGCTACATATGTAACCTTGCACAAGTCATTCAACCTCTGAAATCTCAGTTTCCTCCTGTGGGACATGGCGATACTGATGATATTACACAGATAATGTACACACGCCCGGTGCAGGGCGTGGAGCAAGTGACTAACACAGTGGCCATGAGTACTGTGATCATTGTTAGCTAATGGCAAAAAATGGTGTCTTGACTTTATGAAGCAGAGTAAGTGACCTTGAAGAAAAAGATCTAACCAGAACCATGAATACATCATCAGACCTCCTTCCACTCCACACACCCATCTCCTATAACCTACTGCTTAGCAATATCAACAAGAACCCACAGCAAAAATCTGTCATATGTAGGTTTCTTGTCAAACGTCTCCTTTTTCACTACCTCCCTAGGATAAGTACTGCATAACTCCTTCAAAGAGCCAAGAGTTCCCCATGGCTGCAGAGAATCTTTCTGTTACAAGAATTCTGTATCTACAGCATAACTAGATGTGTTTTTTGGTAAGGTCTAGAGTTTTGTTTTAACCAAACAACTAGAGAAATAGTCAAGCAGAGATGTTTGTTGTTCACCAGAGATGCATCTAACATAACAAAAACCACCACTCCCATTTGTAGAGCCATGTGTTAAGTACTTTACTATATGAGTTTCATGCAATCCTAATAAACCTTTGGGGCTGTTATTACTGTTTCCACTTACAGAGGAGGAAACTGAGGTGCATGGAGTTTCGGTGACTTCTCCAAGCTGTAATAAGTAGCAGAGCTGGATCTGAATCCAGGTCTGCTGCCATTACTTACTTTCAAACCCACTGTTTCAAAGAACTGGAAGAATTTATAGCATAAATATTCCTCTTGCTCATCCTCACGCAGACACTTGTCATACTACTAGAGCTATGAACAGTCCTAGTGCTACAGTGCTAGGAGTCACACTGGGACTTTAACCTCAGGTAGCACAAATCGGTGAGCTGGCAGTCTGAGCATCAATCTCATCACTTCCAAGGACATTCCTTATTAGAGGCAATAATAATGTGGGAGAGCTTTCCCACGTTCTTGGTCTTCAGAATGAACATCAGACCAGGGCCGGAGCTGCTGCTACCCCAAACCCCACTGGCACCAGATGCAGGGGCACCTCTTCTGTCTCATTCCCTTTCCACTTCCCCTCCTGCTCTCACAGTTATCACTCTCCTGGCCATCAGCCACGTCACACCCTTACCTTACCCACCTCTCTATTCACGAGTCCCACGGGTCAAATCCTGGGACAGCACAAATTCCACTGGAAATCAGAATCTTTCACTGAGTGCCAATTCCTGCATCCTGAACACTATCAGGCAGAAAGCAGATAGGGAACCACCCAGGGCTGGAACAGCCTCTCCACCAGCGCCAGCTCCCGCCCCCAGCCTATCCAGCCCAGCTCTTAAGGGGCCCAAAAGCACCAGATGCAGAATAACTGTCTCACAACTCCCCAGTTTAAACCAGATAAGAACCTTTTATCTGATAACTTGAGGAAGGTTTCTCATCCTCCAGAGCCTGAAATCCTAAACCAGTGCTTCTCAACCTGCAGTGTGATGAAAACCACCCTGGGTGCAGATTTTAGGGCAGACTGCTTGGTCCCGCCCTCAAAGGATTTGTCTGGAAAGGAGACAAGAGGAAGCTACATTTCTCACCAGCACCTCAAGTGATCGGGATGCGGGCTGTCTAGGACACTTTCCTTGCGGCTGTTCTACACAGCTGCTCCCAAGGAGAGAGCTGACGGAATGACTAACTGGAATTCCACCTAGGTATGAGGTGCCTATACCCAACAGGGGCTCAACAACAGCAGCCGTGAGTGTATGTTCAGCTGTACAGCGCTGCAAAGCACAGTGATTTGTTACTAACACAGTATTAAGTGGATGGAGAACCGTGTGACTGAGACTGCCCTGGGCTGAGAGCCTTCCACATGTGCCAAATGAGAGGAAATGTAGAACAAGTCCCACCATCTCGGCACCGGCATGGGGCCCGATGGGTTTCTCCTCATCCTAGTCTTATTATGGAAGGAGCAAGACCTGATTTAACAGAAACTGCTGCTCCTCTAGACTTAAGACAGATCCAACTGAAATAAATCTGCCCACCTAGTGCTTTCTATTTTGCAGAACAAGTCACAGTGCAGTCACCTCACTGCAGTATGTACCCAAATGCTCGTATTGGTAGCTCCTGTCACTCGAAGGAACACCTGTAGCTGCCAGGTGTTCTGCATCTGCCTCTGGAAGAGGGCTCCCCAAAGATGAAGACAAGTTCATGTGTCTAAGCATCTAGAAACAGATGCACTGAGAATAAACAGTCTGCTTATAAATGGGGCTTAACAATCACATGCATCTTTGTGCATTTTACCCATTTTGCCCAATACGAGGGATCACCTACCTGCCTCTGCTGGGCAGCTATGTTGCCCATGGGAATCTATGTAGCTTTATCTCGAAGTCTGCCCCAGTGCACCATCTGCCCAGCAGAGAAAAGCCTATCTGTGTGTGAGTTTGCACCCATATACACGAGACGGTGGGAGGAGCAAGAGGCAGCACACAGGAGGTACCTGCATGTATGTGCACCCGTGTGTGTACATGCACATATGCAGGCAATTCTGGGGCCACTGCAATGTCCTCACCCCAGCCAGAATCCTACAATTCCCACACTGTGCTCAGTTAGAGTCAGCATTTCCTGAGAAGATTATTTAGTCCTGTCTCTGTTGTTTGTCTATTTCTATTTAGGGAAAGCTGGCCCCACCGGTTACTCCTCCTTTTCCTTCTCTACCACCACCCACTCACTCACTACCTGCCCTTCTCAGCTGACTGCCAGGCCTGGCTGACTGCTTCCTGTCAGCACTGACTGGGGTGGGAGGGCTGGGCGCAGGACAAACTGGCCCTGAAGTGGCTTCAGAATCCTCCACTGCCCAGACAGATCTCCTCTGGACAATGTACTTTAGTAAATCAGTCACTGAGTTACCCTTCATGTCCCTTTCAAAAGTAGCATTTCCTTCCAGTGGACCAACAATCCTGAATCCAGCCCAGGGCGTCTGTCCGCATCTACTAAGGTTACAATTTCAGTGTTTTTCCCTGTGCCTTGGTGTTACCTCCTGTGAAACAGGACTACTACCTTTCACTAGACCGGTCTGCTGTGAGGATAGAAGATACTGACTACCAAGGGCCCAGCAGGTACTCCCAAAGCAGTCCTTAACAGCACTGGCAGCTGCTGTATCAAGCCACAGGTTACCTGGACTCTGAACTCACAGGTTAGACAAGGTCGGTTACACTCTGTACCATTTTCCCAGCAAGTTAGCTGGATACTCTCTAGAAACTGCAAGCATGCTAAAACCAGGCCATCGACCTTTGTTAGGAAAGAGGTGCTGGCTGTCAGCTTGGAAGCTGGCCAGTCCCCCAAGATAATCCTGGTGCCATCAGGTGTACTGGGTTTGGTGCACCTCACTATTGCTCTCTGAGCTGGAGCTGTACTAACATGACCATAAGGTAAGGTCCTTCCCCTTTCCTTCTCTTCCATTCAAATTCCCAGCAATCCCTGAGCAGACAGCAGCCTCACAGTGGCATTCCTGGGACACCATCAAGGCCCCTGGCTGTGTTGAGGGCCTGTCCTGTGCCTGTGTAGGGTACTGTTATCGCTCACATTCTGCATGCTGGGCCAAGCCCTCCACAGCACACGCTGCCCGCACACACAGCAGGTCCTGTAGCCTATTTCGCCTTCAGGGGAAGCCTTCACCACCGGGGTTGGTGGCACTGCTTCTGAAGAACGCACACAGTGCATCTACAAGTCCTAAGGCACACATCCCCACTCTCAGAGCTTCTCTGTAGCAGGTACTTGCTAACAAGGCTTGTTTAATTGATTAAACATCTTGGTTTGTATTAACATTTGCCAAGGACTTTCTACAAGGACCCACGAAGGCACTAAAGTTCTGTGTGCTGTTTTACTATGGTTACAGTCTTTTACAGTTCCCATTACAAAGATGGAGTGTCAATTTCTGGTGGTCCCAAGAGGCCCAAGGAAACAGCAGAGAACAGCAATGGGCCCTCAAGTGTGGAAGTCAGGATTCGAGGGTAGACAAAGGAGGCTAGCATAGCTCCTCGGACTCCTGCAAACTGCTCTTCCCTACGTATCCCAAGTGCCAAGAGAATCCCAAATTCTTACTTCCACCCTAAAGGGAAGCCTGGCCGGTTGACAACTGAGCTGCTTTTGCTACTTAAGGTTAAAGAGTTGATGTTTTAAAATAGACACTTCTGACGTTCTATAACTAATCTGTAAATTCACCCAACGGTTCAAATCCGTGATTGAAGTTTTATCACTATGTGTTTCTGACGATCTCGGGATCTAGGTCCTGACACAGCCCATCCCTGCAGACTCCCCCAGCCCACCCCTGCTGCACCAGTGCTGGGCGTCCCGTACTTTCTGTCCTGACTGCAAAGGCCCACCAGGGCTCCAGCACAAGGACATAGATTTTTATGATTAGAGCAGTACATGAATATTTAGAAAAGAATGCAAGACCCATAATCCCTATACTCAGGGAGAGGCATAGTCAGTACATTAATATCTATCTTATCATATATATGTATACATATATATATAACTATTATAACATATACAGTTTTGAATCTCATTTTTAAAATAATGTGGGTGCATAAATGTTTTCTCATATCAAATAATCCATGAAATTTCCTTTATTCTCCTGCTTTATTTTCTTTTTTTTCCTCTCCATGTGGGTAATGTTCACTTTATTTATTTCTACTCACTTTCTTAAAAAAGTTACAAAATAACTCTTCAAAGTCAGATGGGTCACTCTGCTGCACAGCCTCTTCCCTGTAGATGTCTACTCTTGGCAGCTTAGAGAACCTGCTTCCAGGCCTCTTTCTGCATATGTACACACGTACAAGCTAGTAATTAAGCAAGCAAATGAGACCTACACGTCAAAGCATGGTTTTACAAAACAAAGTCTTCCTCTGCGTTCAGCTACTCTTATTGGGGGGGACTGTTCAGCAAGGGAAACAGACACCACTGCAGTCACCTTTCCCACACCACCACTGAGCTGTGGTCACAGCCGGGCCTTGGGCTGGGGAAGATGGTACCTGTGACCACAGTGCTGAAACGTGAAAGCCACTGATGGTATTAACACAGTCGGCTACCTCTTACTGAGTACTGTGTTAAACGCTTTGCATGTGTAATCTCATTTGATTCTCTCTACAGCCCTGTAAGGAGGGATCCCTGTACCCATTTTACAGATAAAGAGACTCTAGATTAAGTGGCAACACTGCAATTTTGTCAGCTGCATTCTGAACTGGTACAGGCCACCGTTCATTCATTCTATCCCCCATTCCTCTACCCAGCAAACAGGTTAGTAATAGTAGGCCCTACAATTACTAGTACAGACCTGTTCAATTTGCAGAGGATGGGGAAATTGGCCCCGTCACCCCAACAGTGTTTTTGAAACCTAGCCTGTTCACTTGGAAGACCAAAGAAAAGAAAGGCGCTGAGCCAATCATGCTGGCTTATGTGCAAACCTCGCGGCAAATGCATAATGGACAATGAGTCAGCAGCTTTGGTGAAAAGCAGCAAATTAACACTTGTTGTTTAGCCCTCCTTGACATTATCTGTACAGCTTCGGGAGAACTGGCATCTGAAAAGTACTTAGAAATGAACAACATTTTCACTGCAGGAGGAAACTTTAATTTAAAACTAATTGTGAGAAATTAAGGTCATCGACTATAATGGCGGCTATAAAATGTAAATTGAGGATGTAGTCACTCCAAACTCAAGACAGCTGCTCTCAGGCTCTTGGGCATCCGTGGGCGGAACTGCCAGCATCAACAGCTCTGCGAGCGGCAGTTTGAAAACGGAGTCCTGAAAGTCTCACCAACCTGCAGATCTCCCAAATGCAAAGCAGCACAATCAATGGCTTACATACCCTTGTCTGTGAGATTTTTTTGAATGGCTTGAATAGTATGAATACCCAGAGTATGTGGATTCGGTATCCATAGCAGTGCAGAGTTGTCTTGCAGAAGCAGGCACTGTTTCTCCCGGGAGGTAGACAGTTTCACGTAGGAGCTTCTAAAGCCTCAAGAAGTCCGAACCAGAAGAGGACCTACGCATCAACAGGAACAATTCTGCGAGAAAGGGAAAAAAGAGAGCTCAATCTTCAAAGCCAGTTGTAACAGGGCCGACAGCAGCTGCCTCTCATAAGCAACATCCACCACCTCCTCTCGGGGTCTTTATTATGGAACCAGGGAGCTTGGGTGAAGCACTGATCTGTCAGTGCTCAACTCATGCAGGAGCAGGCTCCCCAGGTGTGTGGGAGACGGGCTGAGTGCTGAGCAAGCTGAACCCCACCACAGCAGGAAGAAGATGGGCGGTGAGGAGAGCTGGGCACTGGTCCATTTCCTAAGCACAGACTCCGCCACCTTTGGCCCTAGGAAGTGGCTGTCAGCACCAACCCTAGACAGAGCGCCCAGCCCCCTCAGTCCCCTCACTGCCAGTTTGCTGGCTATAAAAACAATCCCCAGGGAAGGTGCTTTTAAGGAATTTGATCATTATCAAAAGTAAAAAAAATTTTTTTTTCATTCTTTTAATCCAAGAATCCAAAATCCTAAGAATTTATCTTAGAGAAGTAACTCTTCAAGAAAAGTATTGCAGGGGGCTGGGGATTTAGCTCAGTGGCAAAAGCGCCTGCCTGGCAAGCACAAAGTCGTGAGTTCGGTTCCCGGTACCAGAGAAAAACAAAAAAAAAAAAGAAAAGAAAAGTATTGCCCAACTGTCTACAATAATAACTTTAAAAGCTACAAACAACATCAATGCCCCTAAAACAAAGGCATAGGTAGGGAAAATATGCCTCAGCCATCCAAAGAAAAATCATGTATCTATATAAAATGATAATTAGAAAGAATGGAGAGATTTATGATAGAATGAATTTAAAATTGGATTGTAGATACACACTGAATTTACATTACCCCTACATTCGTTTCAAACGACTTATGTAAGGGCAAGGACTCGAAGGGGACGTCACAAAATGAAAGCAGGTGATTTATTAGTTGCAAGGTTCTTGGGTCCCTTCCCACACTTTCATTAGATACTGCTTTGCAATAAAAATAAATTGGAAACATTTCCAACTACATTCCTGAGCTCCCACACGCGCTAGTCCTTTACTTTTAGAAAACAGATCTAAAGCTCTGTGTCTCCCTGCACCCCTCACCCAGAGCTGGTCTCCGCCCACTAGGGTTCCTTCTCCCAAGAAGCTAAACTGCAAACAGACCCAGGGAGATAAGTGTGAAGAAAACACAAAGGAGCTGCAAATGCCTTAGCCCCGCCTTACTGGGAGGAGGCCCAGGCTCCCAGACCCCAGCAAGCACCAAGTCTGTGGGGAATCAGTCCGGCCGGGCACCACACACCAACACAGCCCCCAGAACTTCAGCCTGAAAGTGACATTCCTTCACTGCCGAGGTTGGCCACCCAAGGTGGGCCTCCCTTAGCCCGAGTCCAGGGCCAGCCACGAAGCAGCGTGGGTTCTAGCCCTGGTTCAGCATCGTGTCTTACAACCCAAGATAAGCCACCTGCCTTCTTCAGCCTCCGTTTGCTCATTTGTTAAAGCAGCCCCCAGCCTCACAGGGTAGATGTGAAGATACCAGCAGACAGTATTGAGAGTGGGGTTCCAATCACAGACTTCACTCGCTCCTGAGCTATGGGACCTTTGTCAAATGATTAAACCTCACTGAACCTGCACCTGCAAACTGGGAATGTCAGGACTGCTACAATGACCACAGCAGCTAATAAGCACAGTGACAGCGCCCACCACGGGTCAACACGCTCTGGGTAACGACGTGGGTGGCCATCCCCACTCCAAAGCTCCAAGTTCTCCTCTAATCTTATTGATGGAAAAGCTAAGAAAGTGAGCATGAGGTTCACCGTGAGCCCACCCTAAACTGGTGGGTCACCCTAAGACCACCCTAATCAGGCTGGTCCTGCAGTCCACGGCCTCCTACCTAGCTGTGTACTTGAGCAAGGCAGTCAGACCTCAGGTTTCCTACCCCATGAAAAGGAAGTACGACATCCTATACTGAGCGGGTGACTGTAAAGACTGAACGTCAAACCCGCAGGCAGGCATTTTTTAAAAGCTAGTTTGGCTCTTGGGCTGACCTCCACGTTCCAGAAAGACGTGAGAGCTGGCTGATCTTTTCTCACGCTACGCTGTCTCCCACCATTTTCACTAGCGATTTCAATGAGCTTTCAGCGCCTTCCAGTCTCACTTCCTCTCCGTTCTGGGCACTGCTGCTTTCTCACTGGCTTCATACCTGGCAGACACCAACTTCAGGAAGTACAGCCAAGATGTGCAGCCAAGGTGAACCGAGACTCTCCCTGGGAGCCCCTGCCTCTGCTCTCCGTTGACCTGCAAGTTCCAGTGTTTGGCTCTTTCCCCCAGAAAACTGACCTTGCTTTTCTAGACTTTTTTTTTTTTTTTTTTTCCTTTTTTTTTGGTACCAGGAATCGAGCTCAGGACTTGGGCTTGCCAGGCAGGCGCTTACGCCACTGAGCTATATCCCTGGCCCTAGATTCATAATCAATCCTCCATAACCCCTGGACTCGTTTGTGCCTCCCAGCCCGTAATTTCTGAATCCCTGTTCCATCCCAGCTCTTGCTGTTTGTCACTAAATGGCGAGAGGTGTCTCAGAGGCAGACCGCCCAGGGCCTGCATACCACAGCTGACCCCATCTTTTCACCTCCTAACTGTGACACCATGAAGCAGATGCTCTTGTCTCTAGGCTTCTGTCCTAGCTCCCACCACAACCCCGCAGTAACATGAGGGCACTTAACATTCTCATCCTAAGGTGGCGGTGAGGATTAAATGCAACGTCTCCAGCATATACAACCCAATTTCATTCCCTTCCCCTTTTGCCAATGGCCATGACTCCTCATCCTCATCAAAACTTGGCCATTCATTAAGACAATGCCAGCAAATGACAGACCCCAGGTACCTTCTGGCTAAAGGATGTTCCTAACCCTGCCAACCACCCATGCCCAGTTTCTCTCCCCAGATTCCTACCTACACTTACGTAACAGCTATCAGTTCTCTCTCCCCCCCTCCACCTTCTCTCTCTGTTGTCACCAAGTCTCCCATCCTTAACTCTCCACTGAAACATCTCTAAGTTGGTCAGGCCCAAAGGTGAGATCCTTGTCCTCCTCCAAGCCCTTCTTACCCCCAGTGATACATTCATTCATATCTGTATCTGAGCAACCACGACCTTGCCCAGCAATGCGAGGGCATGACAATGGCAAGGGCACACTGCCTGTCCTCACAGGGCGCTGGTGCTGGCACCTGTTCACTCTTTCTCCTCCAATACCTCCTCCCGTTTCCCCACATCGTGTGTGATCCCTTAGCACTCAAAGCATGCCCCATTCTCCCCCACCAAGGGACTCACAACAGCATACACTCCTTGCAAACAGAAGCTACAGCTTCCCTATCCCCAGGACACTGTGAACATGATAGGTACCCAACAAATGCGTACCAAAGAATACAACCCAGATGCATACTTCCTGCTAGGGAGGACATCTCTTGCTCCACTTGGGATGATCATCAACCTCCATAGCTGCTTTCTCAAGTTCTGGTCTAGGCTTGCCAATTTCTCCTGCCACAACTTCCTCAAGTATCACTCTGGGCCATGAGTCCACCCCTGTGCCCCTCTCCCCTTCCTTCCACACATGCAAACATCACCAAGCTCCACCTATTCCCAGAACACAGTATTCCTGCCGTTCTGCCAGCGCACAGCAGCCCAGGGCTGGCCTACAGCAACGCCTCCACATCTCCTCATGGATTCCGGCTGCACAGAACCAGAGCCCAGCCCTTCTTCTAAATCATACCCTTTGTATCACGCTTATCAACGCTTACCTATCTCAGATCTAAGTAAAGATTAAGAAGAAGCAACAGGAAGGGAACTCATTTTAAAGGAGTGTTGAGCATAAGTAAGGGCTCCTATGGAGACAGTAGGGAAGCAAGTCCTGAAGCTTATCCCTTCGAGGAGGACTTTAGTACTTAGGAGACAGTTCTCTTGTATGCACAAGGAATTAACAGAACTCATGACAAGGCCAGAAGAGACCCCTTATCAGGAGAGATAACAAAGTATGAAAAGGAATCAGCTTCCCTGGAGAACAAGCTGATGGGCTGCTGCTCGGCCTGAATGGGCTGGGGTTATGTAAAGGTGAAAACACGGAGCCCAGAACCTAGAACTCTCTCTCTAGCTTTCTGACCTGTGACATGACCCATATCCTCTTTGACCCAGGCTGGCAGCAAAGAAAGGGACCTTTAAGTTACAATGCAGATATCACTCGGCTTAAAACCCTTCCATGGTATTCCTCCGAGCACTGAATAAAATACAAAATCTTCAATTGATCTGCTATGTCCTGCCTCAACGCCTGCTCCTCTAAAATACCAGGGTCTCTACAGCCTCAGGACACTGCCCCGTTTCTCTCAATTTAAATACAGTACTGCGTCTTTCAAGAGCTTTTTCTGATCTATATCAGGCCCTTCCCAACACTTAGCACTCTTCCTTTCTCAATTTTCAGTCACATATTTACTTGTGTGATTACTTAATGTCTGGTTCCTGTAATACGCTGTAAGCTCCATGAGGGCGGGGGCCACTTTCATTACGGTTTCTACAGCTCCTACAACACACAGTCACTGGCGTCCTGTAAGCGTTTGCTGAATGAACGCTGGGCAGCAGAGCTCAGCACAGGCATACGTTCACCAGGGAAGCAATCCTGCAGTGATATACTGAGAGTGAAATCACCCTGTTGGCTCACACAGGAGCTCACTAAGCAGAAGTTTATACTGCAGGGGTGCTAAATAGAAACCGACAGCAGCGTCTTTCAGTCCTGCCCAAGAGCATGCTGACCTTCCCACCGTCCCCTTTTTAGGAGTTACAGGCCAGGCTCCCTGCTCAGGAAGGGGCTGCAGGGACACAGCAGCAGGGGCTGGGCTCAGCAAACCCAAGCTCATGACGGCAAGGGGGACACTGCTGAGATAGGAGCCCTGGGCACCTCCGAACGACAGTGTCTTGGGATCTGCAATTCCCAGGCAAAATGCTGTAAAGAACCTCCTTCACATGGTTTATTAAGAACA